TACTACTACTTACTATCGACCACCGATCAATATCTTTTTCAACTCGCTATTCATACTACGCCCACCACCACCACCACCACCACGACTAGAATAAATCAAGTAATAATATGAATGAATAGAAATGTCTATGATGATAACAAAAATTAAGAGAAAAATCTTCCACATTAACCCTCTCTATTATTATAACTATTGCTATTATTACTATTGTCAATCTCGAAAATGTCTTTTTTTTTAAATGATGATAAAAATAATAGACAGACAGGCATAAACTAGAAAGGATAAATAAAAAAAAAAATTCAAAAACTGCTATAAAAACTACTATCACGACAACTACTCTTTATTCAGCTTTGTTGGTTCCAAAATTGACGATTGGTGGCTTGATGGTGTGTTTGATGATACTGTTGTTGTTGATACTGATAATTGTTAAACATTTGCTGTTGAGCTGCTGCCGCGTGTTGTTGCTGCTGCTGTTGCTGTGCGTAGTATGTCGTCGGGTTGTTAGACTGTTGATGTTGTGACGCAGATTGTCCACCACCTATGCCACCAGCAGATGATGATTTATCATATCCTTTATATTGATTCGAGGGATTCAATTCGTTACCGTTATTTCCATTTTTACCACTGCTCGAAGAATTCGATCCTGCTGATACTCCGCTACTACTCTGATTATTGTTCGTTCCGCTATTTAAAAAGTTAAGTTGTGGAATACCACCACTTGCTCCGGCTCCATATTTTTGATAATCATGAACACCGGGAACGCCACTTCCAGGCAGATGATGTATATTCGTTGCCGCTGCTGCCACTGTAACATCATCATAGCCGGAATTAGATGAATGAGAATAATGATGCGGGGGAGCATTAGGAGTTGTTGGCGTTGCAGTTGGATACACATATGGAGATGCAGCTGAAGCTGAACCAGGTTTAGTGATATGATGATGGTGTGTATTATACAATGGATAAATTGATTTATTTACAAATGGTTGGCCGTAGCCTGATTGTTGATATGCTGGAGAGAGTTGATTCATATAATAATATGGATAATAAGGCATGCCAAGCGCTGCTGCTGGGTATGCTTGTTGCTGTTGTTGCTGCTGCTGTTGCGGATTCTGTCCTTGTTGATTGGCAGCAGATTGTTGATTAGCAGTCGTTTGATTTGTAGTTTGGCTGGTAGTAGTAGAATTAGTTTCGGGTGCATATTTATTGGTATCACGATTTTGATACGCATTCGATGTCACAGGAGACGCTTGTCCATAGGCAGCCGGATCAGTTGTATAATAGGCCTATTATTTTTTCAAGTTAAATTATTTATTAATAAAAAATAGTCATATTAAGCTTCTATATTCTATCATATACCAACCATCATTCTTTGTGCATCATGCGCGTATAGAGTGCCATATTGTTCAGGTAATGTTTGCATCGGCGCTATTCCAAATCCAGAGATCTGACTTGGAGGCTGGGTAGGTAAATACGATCCATACGGCTCAGATATTCCCAGATGAGGTTGTTGTCCCATATACGCTGCAGCGGACGCAGATGTTTGCTCTTGTTGTTTGAAATATGTCGGATTATTAAATGTATTAATATTACTGGGAGTTGGATTCGGCGCTGTGCTGCTACTATTGTTATTGTTATTGTTATTAAGGCTAGGAGTAATATTATTAGTATTAGTAGCGGATGGCGTGTTGTTGCTGCTGTTAACAGATGATTGGATAACATTTTGATTATTTGACGATGATGTTGATGTAACATTTGGAATACGGTTAACATTATTACTATTACTTGTATTACTAGCATTATTAGCAGTAGCTTGCGAATTGGTGGTGGTTGTAGTTGATGTAGCAGGCGTTGATATTTGCTGAGCTTGTGCCACCGCTGCTGCTGCTACTTGCATCGCTTGATGTGTGACAGTTTGCTGCTGCTGCTGTAGTAATTGAGACGAGGACGATACATTATTAGTAGTTGTAGTTTGTTGTGGTGCTGGTGGTTGTTGTTGCGGTTGCAATTGTTGCAATTGTGGTGTTTGCTGTTGTTGTGTTTGAAGTAACGATGTCGTCACATTTTGAGATGCTTGCTTTTGTTGAATTTGAGTCTCTGTGGCGATGACCGACGATGAAATCTCCTCGATATTTTGTGTTGTAGTAACAGGAGACGTACTTTCTAATTCTGCATGTTCAGGAGTTGGAGATGTTAAATTCAAACTACCAAATTGCACACCAACTCTTTCCACTCCAGCGCCTGCCGGCATTACAACAGGAGTATCTTGTTTTCTTTGACGAGTTGTAGTCTGTCTTTTAGATTTATTATTTAAACCGGGTGGCAGACTTTCTTTTGGACGCGGTGATGCATTTACTAACGGAGATGAAGCGATAGATGAAGTAGAATGTTCTAATGAAGTCTCTTTTCCGTATTCTTTCAAGTTTTCTTCGGTGGTCTTTGAAGTATCGATTACCGATGATGGAGTTGTTATTTCGGTTGATGAGATGGATGGAATCGACGTGGCTTCATTGAAAGGTTCAAAGGATTTCGGTGTTGGAGATGATTGTATGGATGCAGCATTGTTGGTTGTGGTATTGGTAATATTAGTAGTAGGAATCGCGTTAGATTTCGGTAGCCTGGGTGAAACCGATTTTGGCATTTCGGACGATACTTTTGGAGGTGGTGATGAGACGGGTTCAGGTCTCGGTTCTGGTTTAGATTCTGGCCTACCAATATTGTTATCCCCCATGATGATGATGATGATGATGATGAATAATGGATGGACAATTATTAATTTACGATATTATTATTTTACAATCAATCATAAACATTTTCAATAACATTCACAATAAATAGATATATATATATATATATATATATAATCCCCCACATTCATATTTAATAATTAAAATAGATAATCAAAACACACTTCACGATTTGCGCCCAAGAAGTTTTGGACTGTGCTGGTATTGTCCGAGATATAGGTGAAATGGGTGACTTTGTAGCATTAACCGATGGTTTACTTGCGTTCGTCGGTCGCGGTGAATGTGAAGTAATATCGTCAACTAACTTACTTTCACCCCAACTGCTATTCGCAGTCCAAATATCTTTTGACGCCTCTGCATTCCAAGAATCCTTGGCGGCAGGTGTAGGACTCCAGGCATATGCATCTTTTGTATCAGTGTTCCAATTTTCGGTGGTATTGGCACTACTACTAATGTCATTTTTAGCGTTCGCCGTTGTTGTCGTACTTGTTCCAAAATTATCATTTGCATTATTAGTATTATTATTATTATCATCATCATCAAAAACATTCGACGAATCTTTGTTCTCCGTGGCGCTCCAGGCACCGTTTAAATTATTATTATTAGTACTATCGTTATTCCGACTTGTAGTGGTGGTCGTGGTGGTGTTTGCATTATTATTCAGACCAGGTTTAGGACTGTTCAAACCGCCACCGCCACCAGTTGTAGGACTTTCTTTGGTGTCCAGGGAACTCTTAAAACTGCTCGATGCCTTGTCATTGCCCCAAGCACCTTTCGTGTTCTCGTTAGCGGCAACATTATTATTATCGTTATTATTATCATGATGGGTAGAGGTATCATCAGAAGCAACAAAGTTAGACGCCCTATCCCAGCTTCCACCAGTAGTAGCGTCATTCCAACCAGAAGACAGATTGTTCATAGGCCCACCATTCCGTTTGTTCGAGCCTCCGTTGTCATCATTGTGATAACCATGATGGTGACTTGGTCCATTTTGTTGACGTGGAGGTCTGTTATTATGGTGACCTTATAATAAAATAATGGCAGTAAAGAATTAATAAAAGTAATCCCGATATTTGCAAAATATATTTATGAATATTTTCCAAATATTTAATAACAACTACAACAATGATCAAACTCACCCGTTCCGTTTTCTCGTCGTTGAGATCCTTGACGACGTTCGCGCTCGCTCGATGAGAATTTTCCGCCACGATAAGAACCTCCCTCTAAAAAATGATGGAAAGGAATAATAATGTAAAAACCGTGAAGTATTTTGTATTGCTTATTTTACATGCACGTGCATAAAAAGCTGATATCTATTTTATATATAAACGAGTTGCAGAATAAAAAAATGCACTGACCAGCGCGGCTCCGTCCCCGCTCACTATTAAAACGATCACCGCCACCACCCCTTGATGATTGTCCACGTTGGTTACTGACACCTGAAGACACCTTCGCCTTCGTATTAGATTCTTTTTTGTGTTTTCGGGACTTTACTTCACCCCATTGGTTCGCGTACCCTATTAATGACGATAATAAAAGTTATTAGATTGAGTTTTTATGCTTTTTGAGAATCGAGAATGCATCTTTGACTATATGAAAATATTGATGGACATCTTGATATCTTTTGTATAGACAATGATGAAAGAGAGAGTGAAATCAAAAACTTGATAAAAAATTTCGAGAAAAAATTCGCAAATTTCCCAAAACATGGCCATATCGTTACTATTTCGTTTCAGTTTGTCAAAAATTACACCATGCAATTTCCACAACAAAATGATAAGACAACAAACCGTCAGTAATTCTCGAAGCGGTAAGTTCAAGGTCTCCATCGCTGTCTTTCAAGGCGTATAGCAAATCTTCGTCAGTCCAATTCTCAAATAATTCATGCAGTTTGACCAACGAGTCTTGGTATTTTTCTCTCAGTGTTTTGATTTCTTCTGTCTCTGCTATTCCTGTACTGATGCTATTACTTCTGATGTTCTTGTATCCCACTCCAACCTGAGTTATTCGCGCTGTGTCAATTTCGTATGACCCCATACTTATATATGTATGTGATGTGTGCCTCTGTGTCTGTGTGTGTGTGTGAATATTGGAAAACGATGACGAGACGGCCAGGATAAACGGTGGACTGTTGAATTTTTGGTTTGTAATTTTTTAATGATTATTAGACTCGTCTGCCTCGCAAAACTAACAACACAATCTTTTTACAAACAAACCGAATTTAGATCAGAATGGGTGTGTTGTTTTGTTGGGGCGATGGGTTGTTTACCAAATAACAATAGGAAACAGTAGAATTTATTATTATTATTATTATTATTATTATTATTATTATTATAATTAGGTACTATGATTTGTAAAAAAGGTCGCAGAGCAACGTTCTCTCTTGCAAAAAAATTCGGTTTGAACACAAAAAGGTCACGTCTTACTGTTTTATTTTTTTTTTCTTACCTCAAATTTTTATTTTTTAAAACTATCGACTACAACCAAGAAGAAATATATAAGAGAGGGTATAGGGGACTTTTTTTCCAAACTGGTGATCAATTGATCAGTGGACGGCAAGTCTGATGTAATGAGGATTTATTTTGGGGTGTTTGATGTAAATTTAGGTTATTGCATGATCAGGTTATTACATATCCGATATTCCTAGCATTACGCGCGGCTCTCGAGACGCGTTAACGTTGTATTCACGTATTTGCAACACGGTAATAATATTAAAGTTAGAAATACGGGAAACATCAACTACATGCAAATAGAGAAGAATGGAGTCTCTTATTTCCCGGTACTTATAGTTTTTACTTTATATCTTAACCATACAGCCTCACGCTTTTCTTTTAATTTTTTATCACCCTAATTCTATGGCGAAAGTCTATCAAAACAATTAAAATGTCTCGAGCTGAGACGGTTAGCTCAAAGTTGCGGTTTGAAGATGAAAGGAAACAAAGATGTCATCACCGAGCAACTTGCAAACCATTTTTACGGAGTCTATCGCAAGGAGATATCAATGAGGGAAAGATTATTGCCTTCATCATCATCATCATCATCATCACCTAGCTTCTACTCGATTCCTCAGAGTATCGTGTCAATTGACATTGGCAGTAAAAACCTAGCATACGTGCATCTCACGAAAGATTTACGTATACTTGATTGGCAGCTTCATCAATTTGATTTGAAAGTTCTCGAAATTGGATGTTTTGGGCCCTCTGTCTTGTCGTTTGTTCATGATACCTTGTTACCGAAACAGAATATTGAAAATCTCGGCAGTTTTGTGCTAGAGCGCCAACCTTTTAGGACATTCGCATCGTCTGGAATTTTAAAGCTAATAACGCTCGAAACCACTCTCTACACCGTCTTGCTTGATAGAGCTAAGGAAGGTGTGTCAGTCGAGAGTTTGACGCCTATACAGACGGCGAGATTTGTTGATGCTCGGCTAGGAAACCTCGAGAAATCTGAAGATGATAGCAATAACGATAAAGAAGAGAAACCATCAAACTCAAAAAAGAAGAAATTGAACAAGGAATCAAAAACTTTAAAAAAGTCCATCGTGAAAGAATTCTCAGCAGGGATAGGTTTGGAAGACGACCATTATTACACAACGTGGCTGGATAGTATAGGGAAAAGTTCATCGATTTCGAACCTCAAAAGAACCGGAAACCGCAACAGAAAGCGACTCTCGAAAAGTATTGTGAAAAATTGGTTAGCGGATCATAAAAATCTATACACTGACGAACAATTTGATTATTACAATAATGCAAAAAAGAAAGATGATTTGACGGATTGTTTGTTGCAAGCTCTTTCTTATTATAATTACAGGAAAACTTCGCTACGCGAGGCATTTAGATGGATAGATAGTCAGCAAACAAAATGATGATGTATTCTATCTAGAATGTTATTTATTTTACCACATGAACACACTAATTAATATGCAAAGTTGAACGGATATAAACTCTAACACACTGCATATTTATATATTTATCGAAATACTAAATATTTCAGACAAAATAAAATTCAAGTCATATTTTTGCGCGTTCCGTGAACTAATAAAACCAAAAAAAAAAAAAGGAATCTCTCTTTTCTACTTTTTAAGAAATATGCCGAAAGAGACAAAAGAGAAGAAGGAAAAACACAAGCGTCGTTCAGAACTTGGAACATTAAGCGAGAGGTTAGGAGGAGGAATGACCTCAGAAAGTGGACAAACTAGACTTGACACGTTAAATGAACGGCTGGGAATAACGGCAGAACCACCGCCACCAATGATTACAATTGACATTCCGTTAGAGTATCCAGAAAACAACATTGTATACTTTCCAGACCTTCTAAAAGAAGCTGGTGTGTGGCCTTCCACTCCACCACGACACACAGGAACCGACTCGGATTCTGACTCGTCAGAGGCCGTATCCGACGGCTATCAAACACTCGACAGAGATTCTCCGTCGCCGAGTCCCACTCCGCCGCCTCCACAGCTAGATTCTTCGCATGAAAGTGATCAGTTCTTTCGTCGAATTCTTCAGAACGCCGAAGCGAATGCCAGAGCGGAGAAGGAGACTAAATCAACTCGCAGTAGAAAAAAAACTTCACGAGAGGAAAATTATGATATTTCTGACCCATTCATCGATGACAGTGAACTGGCGCCGGCGCAGCTCTTCACTGGGGAAATTCGTCCTTCCGTGGAAGGATTCTTCGTTTGGAAAGGGCCGTTGGTTACCGAGGGTTCAGATGGTGAAGATTCTCATGACAATAAAAAATCAAGTTTAAAGAAAAGATCAGCTGCGGTTGATAAGAAACCGCGAAAGAGGAAGGCTAATACCAATACAAGTGCTGAAGATGAGTATGTCACCATCACCTCTACTACGACCACATCTATTACTACAACTAGCACCACGACAGCATCAAAACCAACCTTGAAACCAGGACCAAAACTAAAAAAGAAGGCGGAAATCTCGGATGGCAATAATGATGTTAAAAAGCGAGCAACAATTGACGATAATGATCAAGCATCGACTTCAAAGAGTACACCTGAATCATCATCCGTCTCTACGAATCCATTCCGCACGCCACCCCCTCCTCCAAATAGAAATGGTACTATTGCCTTTATTGTTAATCCTGTTCCTCCTATGAAAGAAGAACCTATTATTACAATAGCTGACAAGGCTACAATAACGCCACCTACAGTTATGAGATATGTTCCAGAAGCTAACAAAACACCCGGTAAAACGCAAAAAACCTATCCCGTTGATCCAATCCACCATGAAGTACAATTGGCAGTTGATTTGTTTAAAGTTGAAATCGCAAAAGGTTTATACCTTGATTCATTTATTTTCTCATATGTGTGCGTGTGTGTGTGTATATATATATGTGTGTGTGTGTATACATATGTAAATAATTCTTTAAATTTCCTTTACAGAATCTTTTGCTGTCAAGAATAGATTTCCTCCGAATCTCAAGCCGCATCTATTGACTACAATTACAAGGGCATATGATCTGAATGAATTCAACGAAAATTTCTTTAAAATACTTACTAATGCGTTACCTTATAACAAGTTTACAGTGACTCGACTGTGCAAAAGAACACTCTACCCTAACAAGATTACCGAACTTGAACAACAAAGAGAAAAATTATTTAGTGATCTTAGGGCCGAACTAAATACAATAATGCCAGCGATATTAGCTCAATATGAATTGATGTTAAAAGCTGTCGACGAACACATTGCAGCATCGTCAGGTGCAAATACAGACGGAGATATTGAAATGTCATCGGCTGATGCTCCAGAATCATTGGCCAATAATAATAATAATAATAATAATAATAATAATAATAATAATAACAACAACAATAAGAATGAATTATTGAAAAAGTTTAAATGGACTCCGGCGACTAAAAATTTGGTATGGAAAATTATACAGTTGGAAATGGACATTACTTTAATGAGAAACGACTTGATGGAGGCAGAAGATAAGACAGACCGCTTGTCTGAACACACAACACGTAAACTATTATATCAAAAACTTGTAGCGTGTTGGCCACCAGATTGGATGTCTACTCAAGAGATTTCACGTATGTATAGCGCATTAAAAATTGCTTCGAAACGTACAACAAAGAAGATTAATAACAGCAATAACAACAGCAATAATAACGGAAATGATTAATCATAGCACTAGCAGCAGTGATAATAATAAATAATCATAATAAAATAAAAATAGATCTTGTTTTACGAGTGATCGAGAATCATAAATAAATAAATTACTTTTTTTTTTCTAACTATAAATTTTTGAAAATCGATAATCATTGGCTGAATGATAAATTTTGAAAGACGCGAGAAATTACACGAAATTCTAAATAAAACTCGTACAATGAATTGATAATGGTGCGATATTTTTCTTTTCCTTCAAAGCCCAATGTCGGACACTACAGCTGGTATAGTGGTAGCTGATTTAGACACAGCTAGTCCTCTAACAGCTGTTGTGAACGCGAAATCAAAGGAAACCGGCTTTCTTAGGGCTGTTAAAGACTGCGCGAGCGGGACATTTGGTGGTATCGTACAAGTTTTCATCGGACAGGTATAAATATCAAGAAATTCTTTATTTGGTAATAATGGATGTTTGATTTTTTTAATTTTTATATATCTTTTTAGCCTTTTGATACAGTAAAAGTGGTACGTAAAATGTGCTTTATCATATTTTGATTGTAATGAATTAACAATTAATCAATTAATTATCAAATAGCGTTTACAAACACAACCAATTCCATCACCCGGGCAAAAGCCACTTTATAATGGTTTACTTGATTGTGTAAGAAAAACAAGACAACAAGAAGGTTTCACCGCTTTCTATAAGGTGATAATTTTCACTTTTGTTTTTTTTTTTGGAGTTTATTTATTTATATTGCAAATGTAACCAAATTTCCTACTTAAATTTTTCTTGATTAGGGTACAACAACACCATTGATCGGTATTGGCGCGTGTGTATCGATCCAATTTGTAGTTTTGGAGCATATGAAACGTGTTTTTAATGAAAGAAATGCGGATAAAGGTGTAAAAGGAAATCTGGAACTTTCTTTTATTCCGTTGAATAATCTGCAGTTGTATTACGCAGGTGCTTTAGCTGGAACTGCGAATTCCTTTGTATCGGGTGAGTTTTATTTTTTTTTATTCTATCTATTTTCGCTTTCGATATAATTTTACACACGTTTTCGTTTTTAGGGCCAGTTGAGCATATTCGTACTCGTAAGTTGTAAACATTAGACTTTAACTATATCAATTATAGAGCATCATCTATGTTTATTCGATAATATAAAAAAAATTGAAACAGGTTTACAAGTGCAAATAAAATCAGCACCGACAACGACTTTATCACATAATACTCTTCCATTCTTTCGAGGACCAATCGATTGCTTTCGATATCTTTACAAGTCGTATGGAATTCGTGGCATCTATAAAGGCCAAGGAATCACAATGATACGTGAATTTCATGGATATGGCATATATTTTCTCATTTATGAATATCTTACTCAACGCGCGATGCTTAGAGAAGGGAAAATGAGAAATGAATTGGAAGGATGGAAGTCTTGTTTGTTTGGTGCCGCTGCAGGTATTTGTCGATTAATTAGATGTTCAATTATGATTTCTATAATACATCTATTACTATTATTATAGGATATGGTATGTGGATAACATCATATCCAATTGATGTGATAAAGAGCAAAATCCAGACAGACTTCTTATCACCCGGCACAAGACATTATAAAAGCGCATTGGATTGTGCACAAAAAATACTTGCTACTGAGGGACTAGCCGGATTCTTCCGTGGATTTGGCGCGTGTATGTTGCGTGCTGGTCCAGTGAATGCTGGAACATTTGTCGCGTTCGAGTTTGCAATGCGAGCTTTGAATAAATTGTAGTGTATCACTTTTGATTGAACTCGTAGAGATAATGCTGTAATTTTAATTTTCCCATTAGCATAAAATTACGCCAGGCTGTGTAATTAGCTCAATTTAAAATTTTATTATTTGATTGTGCAATTGTTCGATTCCATTATCGCACGAAATAAACTAGAAAAATTCAATCCTCTGACTATTTTTTGATATACGCAATTTCATGATCAAAGACCATTTTCCAAATGACTTGGTCATAGGTCATGAGATCATTTCAATTAAGATCGTTGGCCAACTCTGCATATGACAATTCTCTTGCTCTGGAAAGATAACATAGAACCTGCTTACCATGTCTTCTATCAAGTAGTTTAGAATTAAAATTTAGTAAAAGATAAACTCATATTAAAAAGGTAATAATAGTAATAGAATTTATAGATTTGCTAATAAAATAATAAAATATAATTCTAATATTCTAATCTTTTATTATTATATAATAAGTATATAATGAGCAGATTATAATATTTTTACTAATTAAATTATAATTATGAAGTACAAATAATAATATAATATTGATAATAATAATAGTGATAATAGTATTGATAATTTAATAAAAGAATTACAAACAGATATTAAAGCTCTTTGCTTATAAAATAAAATGAATATTAATAAATATATTAATTATTCAGAAGAAAATAATATAAATAACATACTTATTAATTAGAAAATTATAAATTTAATTATATATAAGAAGATTAAGAAAAATAAAGATAATAAAGAAGAAAAAGAAGAAAAGAAAAATAATAACATAAAAGAATGAAAAATTACTTATAAAAAAGTATAGAATATTTTAAAGTTAATAATATAATATCTTGTATAGCAAGATCTTGATAATATTATTAAGTTAAAGTTTAATAAGATATTATTAAAGTTTTATAAAACTTGAGAATATCTTATTAAAACAAGTTAGATTTATAAGCTTAATAAATTCAAGTTATTTTTAATTTATATATTATAATATAATTAATTATTATTATGAAATTATAACTTATTATAGAGAGAGTATTAAAAAAAATTATTATTATTCTTATAAGAATAAGAAATTTAATAACTAAATATAATATTTAATTAATTAAATAAAATTAATATAAGAATAATATTAGTAATTATATTTAATTAAAAGAGTTAAATTAAATATAATTTAGAAGTAAAATTATTTTTTAGTAATAAATAAGATAAATTATTAATAAAAATCATAATTTTAATAAAAGATAACAAATATAATATAAGTAAGATTATATTACTTTTACTAATTAAATAATTAGACAAGTTAAAATTAAATATAAAGTATAATATAAATAATATAAGAAAAAAAATATAAGTAAAATATTAATTAACTTTTTAAAAATTTATTGATTATTAACTTCAAGTCTTATTAATTAAAAACTTAAGAATTCTATCTAATTTATTAATTATAAATTTTTTTTTATAATAGTTTAAATTATATCAATCAATATTTACATAAAATATAATTTGATTTATCAATTATATAACTTAATTAATAAAATATTAAGTATTAAATTAGTAATATATTAAGTATAATAATAATTTAATTAGTATAATATTATTTAAATTAGTATTTTATTATATATAATTTAGAATTTTAATTAAAATTTAAGAAAAATATATATTTAAAATAATTAATAATATAAATAATAAATAAATAATATTATTATATTAAAATATGATAAATAATAAAAATAAGAATTCAAAATAGAGATTAATAATTGATAAAAAAGATAAAGTATAATAAAAAAAGAAGATTATAAAAAGATATAATAAAAAAAAAGATTATAATAATATAATCAAGATTATAAGATTAGAAATTAGAATAGATTATAATAATATTTAAAATTTTATAATATTTTATAAATTTTTTATTATATACAGTGGCCATCAAAAGTAATGCAACACTTAAATTTTTTACTAATTATAATTAGTAAAATACGTGATTTTTCTTACATATAAAAGTTTTTAATTTTACTAACAAATATTTTTTATTTTTACCTCAAAAAATAGCTAAAGTTCTCTAGT